ATGTTTATTGGCCACTTGGATAGCCTCTCTTGAGATAGGCCTTTTGAAGTCATTTTCCACATTTCTGTTGTTTTTTCCCCCTTAATAATTTATTTTAAAAATCTTTTATAGATGAGTGTTTTGTCAGATACATAGCAAATAACTTCTCTCACTTTATGCATTGTCTTTTCACTCTTAATAGGGTCTTGATGAAAAGTGTTTCTTAATTTTAATGTAGTCTTGCTTTTCCTTTTTTTTTATGGTTAGTCCTCGTTTGCTACTTAAGAAATCGTGGCTACTTCAAGATCACAAAGATGTTTTCTGTTTTCTTTAGAAACGTTCATTGTTTTATATTTCATATTTACATCTGATGTGAGATGGAATCAGGACTTTTTTTTTCATGTGGATAGCCAACACCTTTAATTGAAAAGGAACCTCCCTGGTCAAATATGAGAGTCAATATCTGGACTCTGTTATATTGCAGGAGCTGTTTCTAGACTCTATGCCAGTCCATTAATTTCATTTTCCTTCTTTATGCCAGTAGCACACCACCTCTAATTATTGTGCCTTTCAGTAGTCTTGCAGTCAGACAGTATAAGAATGTATACTACCACAGTTAACCAGTTACATCACTCTCCTTGGATGTATGCTTCTTGCCAGGTTAGGAGTTTAAATCTTGTTACTTTCTCCATAAATCCTATTGGCTTTTGATTGGATAGGATTATGTTGACAATCACTGGTTCTCATTGAAAGATGTTTTTTGTCCTCCCCAAGTCATCTGGCAGTGTCTGGGGACATTTTTGGTTCTTAAACCTAATGGGGGAGGGGTGTCACTGCCCTGTGTGGACAGAGACAGAATATGCTACGAAAAGCCCCCTAGTGCCCACGACAGCCCTCTTCCAGCAAATAGTTATCTAGCCAAAATGTCAGCAGTGCCACTGTTGAGAAATGACGCCACTATTAAGTGATGTTAAGTCACCACATCACTCTTTGGCTGGTCTTCTGACCACTCTCTTACTCTTTTCTGTTTGACCTAATCCGTGGTTTTGCCTCTTGTCATTTTCCTTGTTTTTTACCTTCTTGATTAATCAGAAATAGTTATTATCTCATTTTTTATTCTTCCCTGAACTTGTTTCAAATATATTCTTTTACAATTCTTTTGGAGCTACGTTGCAGAATTCCACCTTCTTTCTTGATATGTTATAGTCTAATAAAATTCTTTACTATTTCCTGGTATTCTAGACTCTTAGAACACTCAACTCCAGTTACTCCTCCCCGTGCAGTATTGTCTGGCCTTTCAGTTTTATATGAAAATATATCTGCACGCATGCATATGCTTAAATTACAAAAGACATAGCAATTGTTTTGTACAGTAAAGTTCCTTTCTACTGACCTATTCTACTGACCTACTTATTTGCTTTTATGTTTCCTTATGTTTTCTCTCTAATTTTTCCTTTAGTGCAAGCCTCATAGCAATGAATTCCCTTAGTTTTTGTTTGTCTGAAAGCATCTTTATGTTACTGTTAGCTTTGAGAAATGCTTTTATAGGGTGCAGAAGTCAGGATTGGTATTTAGTTTCTTCCCGCACTTTCAGGATGTCATTCTGTTGAGTTGTGGGTTCGCCATTTCCATGCAGTTAGTTGTCAATTTTATGCACCATACTTTTAGGGCTTTTCTTGTTATTTTTGGTTTTCTGTAGTTTGACTCTTAACTCTGGTTTATCCTTGTATACAGTGATCTTCCAGGAGTGTCAGTTGAGAGCCTATCAGGCCCTTTGTCGCCTTGACCTTGAAAGGCCTCTAAAATCCTTTGAAGGGTTCAGCATTGTCTTTTGCTTACCTCTTCACACAGCTCCAAAATTTGGCAAATGTCTCAGGGAAAAACCAGTCAAGTTTTTACAGGTCCTCAAACCTTTTTGGCTTCGAAGAATACCAGAATTTCTACTGGGTTTCTCTCTCTCTGAGTAGCCCTTTCCCCAGAATTCATGTATTTTGAGATCCCTGAAGACTGGAGCTTTGTCTCTGCAGCCCCACATGCCCACACTAAAAAGCCACTGGTTTCTTTCCTGGTGAGCCTTCAGCCTATCCTCATGACATCTGACACCTTGATCCTGAGTCACATCCAGGAGCAGCAAACAACTTTAACAGTAGCAAATAGCTATTGATAACTGACCCTGTGAACAGTGTGAGGAGAAATGTGTTGCTTTAAGAACTGCGTTTTCTAATTTCCTGACTTTCTAGCTAGCGTGAGCATTAGACTGCTGTCCCCTGCTGTATCCTCCTTGAAAGCAGAATCGATAGAGCAAGCACAAGACAAGGCACCAGGGATCAGAGAGGAAGCTGTGCCAGTAGGCACAGCATTGAAGAGCTCGTCGTCGTCAGCAGGTTGCAAAGCTGTGGAGGGAGTAGAATTGGTGACAGTGAAGGGAATGGTGGAATTAAGAGAAGGTGAAAGAAAGCAGAGAGATTTCTTTGGTTTCCAGTTCAGGTGAAGACTATCAATCAAAGGAGTGGAAGTAAAAGCAAACAAGAAAGATTTCTGTTTCGGATATATTGTTTGTTCCCATTTCACTAGCGCTGTTGTAGTTTCTGTCCAAATCTGAGAGCACAGTTCAGGTACCCTAGGCTATCATCTTCAAGTCCTGAAAGGGGGGTTCAGATACCAGGCCACTGACCTCACCTTCTTTAACCAGGGGTTCGCTGATTTTAAATGTTTGGTTGGTTGGTTGGTTTTTTATACTGGGCGTCCATTTAGACAACTTATTTAAAGGAAGTTTCCATCATCTCCCTGCTTTCGGCCTCTGTTCGGAGTGTCTGGCCCCCCTTTCTCCCCACAGGTGAGTATCCTGGTTGTGTGCAGGGCTTGGCGGCGGCGGTCCTCTATTTGCAGCCAGTTCGTGCTACTCCACTGTCTCCCAGTAGATGTATGCAAATGAGAAGTCCAAAGTCAGTCTCTTTTTATTTTGTGAATTATTTGTTGTTTCTTCCTTGAAAGCACAAGTCTTCAGAATTTTTTCCAAAATATGACTAGACATAAGTCTCTTCAGTATCCAAATAAGTCACCTTGACTTATTTGGGGAAATGTTATTCAGGGAAAGGTTTCGGGTACCTATTTGTTTTAGTCCTTCCATCTGTTGCTTTTCTCATTCCAGAACTCCCCACCATTTTCATGTTAGTTCCTCCCCTCACCCCACCTCTATCTACCTGCCAGGTCTCACAATTTCCATTTCTTTGTATGCCTTCTAAGTGTGTTCTACTAGATCTCCCAGGCCCTGTCCTGGATCTCAGTTAACAGTTCTTTTCCCCCACCCCAGCTTTCAGGGTATGGAAAATCCTTTTTTTTTATTCTAACAAATGTCTTTTGTTTTTTAATTGAACTTGTGTTATTGGTCTTACTGTCTTTCTGATTCTTGACTGTGTCCTTAGTGGGTCTGTTGATTTAAATTCACCACCTCAAAGGGTGCGCTGTTGGCTTTTCCTTCCTCTAGGGCAGCTGCACCCCATTCACTGGCTATCTTCCCTCCTGCACCTCAGACTGGGATGGCAGAGCAGCCTCTGGTGTACAAGCCCCAGAGTGCAGGTTAGGTGTCAGTCGTGCCCAGGAAAGCTTTCTGGCCTCTATACTGCGTTCTCCGACCTGGGGGAAGAAGAGCCCAGCTGCTTCCTGTCCTGCTTGCTGGAGACCAGGAGCTGTCCCCTGCAGAAGACTCGCAGAGAGCAGCTCTGCCCTTCCTCGTGGGAGCTCTGTGAACTAGACACCAGGGTATCGAGCCTACTGAACCTTCTACCCAAAGGGAAATCCCAGCACCAGTTCTGTCTGTACTGCGCAGGCGCCACCTAACCTGCCAGCCCTGTGCCCAACTGCAGGAGGGTTCATGAGATTAGGGACAGAGAGAGACAACAGAGATGCTTTCTTATGATCGTCTAATCAGAATCCCCTCGCAAGTAGGGCCAGAAAAAGGAGGAGGGGCTGGGAGAGGGAGACAGTGAAGGAGAGCAGGGCGAGGGAGGGAGGGAAACAAGAACAGAACTTGGTGAGCTCTAAGCCTCCGTCCCAAGCCCGCATCCCAAGCCAGCGTTGTGTATTTGTGCGTGTTTACGGCCTCCTGCTTCAGCCCAGTTCCCAGTACCCTTGGGCCACACTTTTATGTCTTCCAGCACGCTCTGTCCCCACAAAGGGAGTATTTGAGACTTTTACTTCTCTCAAGTCCTTTCTTTACCCCCTGTCTTATCTACTGTCAGCCATGGCTTTGAATTTCTCCTGACACAGAAAACAGAGGTGGCCTGGTATTACGTTGCTCAGCTTCTTTGCTATTTGCTGCGATCCTTCTCTCATGTTACTGAGTGCCAGGCACTCTTCTTGGTGCATGAAGTTGAACGTATCACCCACCCATGCTTAAGACATCTTGTATTCGTCTACAAGAAAAGGCAAAACTAATCCATACTGATAGGAGACAGAACAGTGGCTACCTCTTGAGAGGGAAAATAGAAATTGATTGCAAAGGGGCATGAGGGAGTTTTCTGCGGGGCCTAGAGTAATTCTATGTCTTGTTTTGGGTGGTGCCTAGTTGGGTCTCACTATATATACAAATCCATGCTCTAAAGACTAGTGCATTTTACTCTGATTGTTTTACTTTCTTTAAAAAAATTGAAAATCTTCGGTGGCTTTCCATCACTACCCCAGGTGAAAACCAAACTCTTTAGCACTGCACAGAGTCCTATTCCTTCCTCCCTCGGGTCTTGGCTCAAGCATCTTTCCCTGTGAAGCCCATCCTGGCCGTCCCTGGTCTATGACACAGTCTTTCCACACCCAGGGATGGAAGCGTAGCCTATCCTAATTCTTGTTTTCCTATCCTGTTTCTGAGCAGGCTGTATTTCACTGTGCATATGCTCCCCATGCCTTCTGCAGTGACTGGCACGTAAGTCCCCAGTGAGTGTTGACTGAATGAAGCAAATGCACCCTGAATGTACTTTGAGCTTGACCCTCGTCACTGAAGTTTCCTTCCTTCCTCCAACCTGCAGGATGTTTCCACAGTGAGAAGAAGCCTCTGGCACCATGGCAGTTTTTGATACCCCTGAGGAGGCCTTTGGCATCTTACGTCCCGTCTGTGTCCAGCTCACAAAGACCCAGACGGTGGAGAACGTGCACCATCTGCAGGCGCAGCTGCAAAGCGTGAGTGACTCTGCCCTCCAGGAGCTGCAGCAGTACGTCCTCTTCCCTTTGCGCTTTGCCCTGAAGACCCCCGGTCCCAAACGAGAGCGCTTGGTCCAGAGCGTGGTGGAATGCCTCACATTTGTCCTCTCCTCAACGTGTGTGAAGGAACAAGAGCTTCTGCAGGAACTCTTTTCTGAACTCTCCGCTTGTCTCTATTCACCTAACTCCCAAAAACTTGCAGCCGTGTCCGAGGAGTTGAAGCTGGCTGTCATTCAGGGCCTCAGCACATTAATGCACTCCGCTTATGGGGACCTCATTCTGACTTTTTACGAACCCTCCATTCTTCCTCGCTTAGGATTTGCTGTGTCTCTACTGTTAGGCCTAACAGAGCAGGAGAAATCAAAGCAAATTAAAATTGCTGCCTTAAAGTGTTTACAGGTTCTGCTCTTTCAGTGTGACTGTGAAGACCACCCTAGGTCTTTGGATGAACTTGAGCAAAAGCAGCTGGGGGATTTGTTTGCTTGTTTTTTACCTGGAATCTCAACTGCACTGACCAGGGTTATCACAGGAGACTTTAAACAAGGGCACAGCATCGTTGTCTCTTCCCTGAACATCTTTTACAGGACTGTGAGCTTCATTATGGCTGACGAACAGCTCAGCAGAATCTCAAAGGCCCAAGCAAAACCTGCAGTGGAGCAGAGAGTCGCAGAGCTGATGGTTCGCAGGGAAGCCGAGTGGGTAAAAAATACCAGCGACAAGTTGACTATCCTGATTAAAAAGATTATTGAGTGTGTTTCCATCCACACGCACTGGAGGGTGAGGCTGGAGCTGATAGAACTTGTCGAGGCCCTTCTTTTGAAGTGCAGTCAGTCACTGCTTGACTGTGCTGGTCCCCTTCTAAAAGCTTTAGTGGGACTAGTAAATGATGAGCGTCCTGAAGTTCAAGCCCGGTGCAATAAGGTTTTGAAACAGTTTGCAGATCAGAAAGTAGTGGTCGGCAACAGAGCCCTTGCTGACATCTTGTCAGAGAACCTGCACTCGCTTGCCACAGCGCTTCCCCGCCTGATGGACTCTCAGGATGACCTGGGCAAATTTGCCACACTCTCCTTGTTACTCGGTTATCTGAAACTCTTGGGCCCAAAAGTGAATTTTGTCCTCAACTCTGTGGCCCACCTGCGGCGGCTTTCCAAAGCACTTATCCAAGTTCTAGAACTAGATGTAGCTGACGTCAAAATCGTCGAAGAGCGGCGTTGCAACTCTGACCATCTGAGCACTTCTCCAACATTGTCAGCCTCGCAGACACGGAGCCAAATGCAAAGGAGATATTTCCGCTTCTTCTCCGATGAGCGAGTTTTCCTGCTCTTGAGGCAGGTTTGTCAGCTTCTTGGTTTTTATGGGAACCTCTATTTGCTGGTGGATCACTTTATGGAACTGTACCATGAATCTGTGGTCTACCGGAAGCAAGCTGCCATGATTCTTAATGAACTGGTTGTAGGGGCTGCTGGGCTAGACGTGGAACATCTTCATGAACAACATAATAGAACAAACCCAGAGGAACTGAAAGAGATTGTGATATCTCTGTTAGAAGAATACACAAGCCAAGAAAACTGGTATTTGGTTACCTGTATTGAGGCTGAGGAAATGGGAGAGGAGCTTCTGATGAAGCAGTCAAGCCTCCAGGCCATCACATCTGGTACCCAGACCTGCCAAGTTACAGCTTTCCCTTCCTTTTCAAGACCAAATCCCACTGTTTGTTCCATGAACAGTAACATCTGGCAAATATGCATCCAGTTGGAAGGGATTGGCCATTTTGCATATGCACTAGGGGAAGACTTTCGTTTGCTCTTGATGTCAGCCCTCTATCCAGTCCTGGAGAAGGCTGGAGACCAAACCCTGCTCATCAGTCAGGCAGCTACCGGTGCCATGGTGGACATTTGTCACGCTTGTGGCTATGACTCCCTGCAAGATCTGATCAATCAGAATTCAGACTACTTGGTGAACGGGATCGCTTTAAATCTGCGTCATCTGTCTCTGCACCCCCACACCCCAAAGGTCTTGGAAGTCATGTTGCGGAACTCAGATGCTCGTCTGCTTCCTTTGGTGGCAGATGTGGTTCAAGACATCTTGGTCACCCTGGACCAGTTTTATGACAAGAGAGCCTCTTCCTTTGTGAGTGTGCTGCATGCGCTGCTGGCAGCATTAGGTACATTGAGAACCCTTTTTCATGCTAATTTGGGGGACAGCTGTATCCTAGTTTGCCTGATCTGCACCCCCATTATCTGTGGTTATATTACGCAGGACGTTATTTGAACAGCCGTCTGTCCAGTCCCACATGATATAGTCGAGTTCCATTGCTGGTTGGTTTTTTCTTTTGAACATTCTTTTAGTAGTGTCACTCCCCTCTTGAGCTCCTGATCTACACCAGTGGTGTAAACGCTGCAAACTAAACATAAACGCTTTTACTTTACAGATTAAAAAAAGGCTAAGGCTCAGAGAGATCCTGCACAGCCTGACTCGCGTTACAGTAATGCTCAAAGACAGAATTTATAACAACTTTGTTCTTTGCGACATGCCAACTGCTTCTGATAATACTTAGAGATAGCAGTGTCTGTGCTGCTGGAAAACAGAAATGACGTGAATTATTCAGTCCCCAGAAAATCTAAAACTTTCTGTGATGATGGAAATATTCTGTGTCTGTTCTGTCTAGTACAACAGCCACTAACGATGGTGTTTAATGAAGCCGAGGAGCTAAGATTTTAATTTTAATAGTCCCAGGTAGTTAGTGGCTGCCCTGTTGGACAAATCAGGTCTAACACTTGCCTTTAACCTTTTAATTTTGTGAATTGGTTTGCGTTTCTTCCCTTCGTTTCTTTTGGGTATCTATGGGAGGTGTTAGCGGCCATTAAAATGGCAAAGTTTGGAACTAGAAAGAAAAAGAACTTTTCAGCTGGACTGTTGGTCTAATGCAAATGTTCTTCATTCGATGAAGAGTACTTGCCATATGTCAGACACTGCAAAGTAATGAGAATACAGTGAACATAATGTATAACTCATGGAACATTCTTGCTTCTGCAAGAGAGAAACAAGTAAACAAATCAATAAGGAGACCATTTCAGATTCTAGTAAGCACTGTGAAGAAAATAAGACAACTCAGTGCAAGGGAGGAACCGGGATGGCTGCCTGAAGGAGAGAGGTCAGGTAGGGCCTCTCTGAAGAAGCGATGCTAGAGCTTAGGCCCGACCCTGAAAAGGGCTTATTGTATCCATGGGGCTGGTACATTCTTTGTGGTTTCCAGAACATCTGAGCAAGAGAATAGCAGGTACAAAGGCCTGGAGGAAAAAAAAAATGGTCTTTGGAGAATGGAGGAAACATCATTGTGGAGAGAGTGGTGCAGGTTCAATTAGAAAGGTGTGTAAAGACCGATTCTCCAGGACCATGTAGGCTAAGGGAAAGGGCTTGGATGTTCCTTTGCAGCCTCTCCAACACCTGTGTCCTGGGCTAGTCCCTGGGACATCAGCACTGACCAAGAGGAACCTGGTCACAGAAGGACGACTTACACATTTTAAACACGAATTGGCTTCCATAGTCCAAATCTAGCCCAGACTTCTAGTGCTTTAGGGAATCCTACTACATTTCGGTTTGAGATTGAAGAAATATATTAAGAAAAGGCCTATTACATATCTCCTCTCAGGAGGTATGTCAGTTTGGGCCAAAAAAATTGAATTGCTTTGAATTGCTGATGTCTGTGGTAATCTCTCAAAGAGAAATCCTGTGTAGCACTTTTTCTTTAATGGGGATGGAGGAGGAGGGGTGTCCATTGCAGAGGAAAATGAGGATGGTTCAGATTGACCTGAGAGCCTTAGAGGGAATAAAGCCAAATCAGGGATAGCTTTCCCCAAAGTTCCGAGCTAAGAGGCTACATCTGCGTTTTGATGGTCAGCAGAGCCGAGGTGGCCCCATCCGTCAGCAGGAGTCAGGAGCTCGCCGCACGCTGGCAGAGCCATTTGTTGGTGAACCCATGGACACTCTGGGATGAGTGTGGAAGTGTGGTCTCAGAGAACCTCCCAGAAGCCTTTAAAGAACCAGAGTGTGTTTTAGGGAATTGAGTTACCATAAGCACCGTGTTTCACAGGCATTGATTGAAAAGCATTAGGTAGCACAGTGAGAGTAAGAACCATCAGATAAATTACTGCTTGGCATCCACTGCTGGCGGCAGGCTGGTTAAATAGGAAAAAAATAGGACAACTGAAAATAAGAAAGCGGCCGTGCGCGTGTGCGCATGCTCGGCATGGGAGGCGGCGCCACCTCCGCACTGCAGGCTGGGCTGCTTGGTGTTCCGAGTGGGCTGGAGGCAGCCCTTGCTCGGCAGGCGCCGTGCTGCTTCCCCGTCTTAGGCTCCCTCCAAAAAGAAATGAGTATCTTTGTAGGTCATTTTGAGCGTGTCTAAGAATCTCAATAGGGCAAATTCCGAAGAGAAATACTGCCTTCGAGAGTAGTACATTTAAATTTTTTGATAGACAGTATCAAATTGCTCTCCAATGAGGTTATACTAATTTAACTCCCGTCAGCAATAAGGAAAGTGCCAATTTTGCCATGCTCTCACCCACACTGTGTATTACCCAGCTTTTTGATCTTTGCTAATCCAATAGGAGAAAAATAGCACCTTATTATAATTTAATTTGCATTAAGAGTGAGGTTGATCTTCTTTTCATATGTTTAAAAGCTATTTGTGAGCAAAGACTAATGGTTAACACTAGCCTTAAATCTGGAAATAATCACGATATTTCTACTCTCGGTATAATGACGGATCCTGACTTCAGCCAGCTGGGAATGCCAGCCGGTAGCGCTCACGGTGGACCTGGGGATGGGGCATGGAAGAAAGGGCACACGCGACCCCACACACAAACCTCCAGGGGCAGCTGGAGCCTCACCTCTGGCATTCCCACTCTGCTGCTCTCAGTTCCTGCGCTGGCACCTCCCTTCCCCTGATGCTCTGGCTCTGTAGAAAGCCCCGATCCCTGGTAAAAAGTAGCTACCTGAGTGTAAAGGTTACCAGATTCTCCCCCTCCTTACCTCAGCCCTACTGCTTTGCCTTCTTTACCAGATTCTCCCCCTCCTTACCCCACCCCTACTATCTCAAAAGGAAGGACTTTCAGGCTGTTTCTTTTGGTTGTCCCATTCCTTTGGTATTACGATCTTCTATTCAAGTGAAACCCCAGGTGATCCCCAGTATACAAAAATACTTGAAATTGGTGAAATTGGAATTGCCCTAGTTAAAGAGGGGCTAGACATCCAGAACCTACCACCTTGTTAACCTGCTGTCTCATGGCACCTGCCCTATTGTGAGCCTGCGACATATCTGTAAAGCCCATTTTGAAAATCACTGGTTCGAACATGATACATAAGGTTCATTTTTGTGGTGAATATCAGAAGTATTGGTATATGGCCAAAGAAGGAAAAGCTTTGGAAATAAAGTGCCCATCTTCAGTACGTCTGTGAGAAATACATGTATGACACTGTGTCCGTTCTCAAGACTGGAGTTTGTCTTCTGCAGTGAATTGTGTAGCCTTTTGTCCCTTGAACACTTCAGAACATTCAGAATATGTGTGGAGCACCCATTCCGTGCAGGACATTTTGAATTTCCAGTGGTGATCAGTAGGAGGGCATGGAGTCTAAGAGGAGATTCCAACACTAACAGTGCAGAAAATAAATAGAATAACTATGATGTGTTGATCTGAAGGACATGGTGCTTTAAGGATACAAGGGACCTTAATTAGATTAGGGAAGGGAGATAAGGGATAACTTTACTGGGCAAGTTTTATTTGTATTGAGACATGAAAAGTAAGTTGACATTAACCAGATGTGACTACGGGGAAGAGATTCCAGATATCACATGCAAATGCCCTGGGACCAGAGAGCCCCTGATGCATCAGAGCAACTAGAAAATGACCAAGTAAGGAGCTGTACATGACAAGGTTGGAGAACCCAATAGAGCCTGGGTAATGCAGGGGCCTTAGCGGCAGCAGGAGAGAACATCCTTTGGTAAAGCACTAATGCCTGTTGTCAGCGACCTGGGTGCTCTTTGTTACTTATTTTCTGCACCTGAGGGGAGAGATCAATTATTGTACAAAGATGAGTGACAGTGCAAAACAAAAAATATAACGCTTTATTTGCAGCCCAGTGGTTTCCAGACACAGACAGTCTTGGGCAACCCCAAGAACAGAGTGTACGGGAGGAGGGAAGCCATTTGAGGCCAGGACCAGCAGTCCTGGAGAAAGGACCCGAGAAGAATACCACCACAGCTGACGACATTGAACAGTTTTTGCTGAACTACCTCAAGGAAAAGGATGTGGCAGATGGAAATGTCTCCGATTCTGATCATGAAGAAGGTAATTATTATTTCTTATGGCTGAACTGTTTCCTTCTTGAAAATTCTTTTTTTTTTTTTTCTTAAAGATTTATTTATTTATTTATTTGTGCATACACTGGTATACAGACCAGACGTGCAGGGGTGGTGAGATGATGCACCAGAGACAGAGTGGGGAACAGAACAGGTGGATTGACTGAAATACACTGCTCAGGGGAGCAGTGGGCTGAGGAGAGGTCTGTGGTGCCATGTGGGTCAGCTCCCTGGCTGAGGATTGAACTTGTGATGAAGCGGCTGCGGCTAGCTTCGTAGTGCTGTGCTTTAACCCATTGTGTCACCAGGGAGGGCCCGAAAATTCTTTTTTACAGTTAGCTTGAAACACATAACTGTAAAAAAAAAAAAAAAAAGAAGAAGAAGAAGAAAAAGAAATAGCATTACAGAGTTTGGAAAGAAGTCACTTACCACCCCACCACAGACAGTCTCACTTTGTATGCAGTCTTCTGCCACTCTGGTTTATTGCATCTTTTTATATGGTTGCGCTCATAGTTTTAATGCGTGATGCCCTTTTTGCACTTAGTTCTATAATAACTTTCCATGTTGCTATAGAGTTTTCACAATTAATGGTTTAATAGCTGCAACTAAATATCCATCCCCCTGTGGGAAATTTAGGTTGCTTCCAGCTTTTCATGCAAAAACAGTGCTACAGTGGATGATTTTGTCCACATGACCTTTTCTTCCTTTTTGCATAGTTCTTTATAAATCCCAGAAGTGAGATTTCTGGGTCAGAGATACGAACATTATTTTATCCTTGCCAAATTGCCTTCCAGAAAGGTTGTATCAGTTTACATCTTCTTATAGCAGTGTACTTAACTCTGGTTTTACCATACTTGCCAACAGTGGCTATTTTACTTCTAGCTTAATTAATGGGTGAAAAATAGTTCTTGTTATTTTACTTTGCATTTCTTTGATTACTGGCAGATTGAACACCTTTATGTATGCTTCTTTCATAAGTTTATGCCCACTGTCTCTTCAGATGCTTTGTCCATTTATTTATTGGTAGAGGATTTCAGTGTTTTTCTTACCAATTTATATGATAAAGGAGAAGGGAGTTCAGTCCAGTTGAAGCTCTGGCCTGTTGTTTTATTCACAAGCTCAATCTGGAGCTTCAGGTCACGGAAGGATTAATAAATTATTAGAACCTCCTCTGCAAATATAAAATGCCAAGTCATAATGAGCTTGGTGGTCTCAGAACTATCCTAAATCGAACTGAGTCCCAAATTAGTTTGTTAGGTTGGAATCGAGCAGATTTCTTTTTTCATTTTTCCTTTTTTTTTTTCCGGCAATCTCTGCTCTGAGACTCTGATGAACTGAAGCCAATGCTTCCAGGATAACAGGAAATAGTAGCTCATTGCAGCTAACCGCAGCAAATTCTTTCTAAATAGCAGGGAAGCAGCACAAGGCCCAAGTAATGATTTTTGTGGAGTCATGTCATCACTCTCCCTAGAGACAGTTTTCTGATCAGAAATCTATCAGGCTTTTTCTTTTCAGTTTTGTTTCTTAAGCCAACCCAATTCTCCTTTTTGTGAACTGCACCCTTCACTCAAACCTGGAAGCCCTGAAGAAGGGGGGCGCGTCTTGATGCTTCATAATCCGGATTTACCCTTCTTATTTGAATTCTAGTATTGTCAGGGAATCCATTCTTTCATGATTAGGATCTTCTGGTTTGAGTTGATGTTTGCTAGCAGCGGACTGAATGAATCAAACCTTTCCTCCAAAAAAGAAAATCCACATCCTTCAAATAGCATTCTACAATTGGAGAATTTCAAACAACAGACCCTTTTCTGGGAAGGAAAACACAGCCTTATCATTCTTATAATTATCATTCATCAAGCACATACTATGCACTTGGCGTTATATAGAACATTCGTGTTGTGTTGGTTTGACATCCGTTTTTTGTTTTAAGCACAATAAAAGCACCTTGTGTATTGAGGTCCTTTCTCCAAGAAATCCAAGCATTCTACAAACACATTTTCATTTATCTTTTTAGCATCTGTTAGACAGGTGTGGTTGCTACTCTAAGATTCTGTTTTTCCTCCAGAGGAAATTGAAATGGGAAAAAGTTAAGGGAGTAATGTTCAGCTCAATGGAAATGAACACAACCGGTAATGGGGGTGTGGGGAGCTTGGAGCTATAATTAGACAGAGGACATTTTTTCAGGATAGGAATTTAGCCTGATTTTCAACTCTCAAGTCTTTTTATTGTTGTTTTAATTTACAAACTTAAACTTGTCTCATGCAACCACAACTCTAGGCAGTGATAATAGCTGGTGGCGTTCCTCTCAACAAGTATATGAGGTATGCAAGTTTTATTCCCTTTTCAGATGAGGTACTACAGCAAGAGAGGAGTTGCTAATGGATTGTGGAGACGAGGCCTCCTTGTGAAACCCCACCCCTGGTTTCTTCACGCTACCCTGGTTCTGTCTCATACGGAATGAGGCTTCATCTTGACCAGCAAAAGGTCTTGCAGGCTGGTGGAAAACACAGACAGGTGCCCCTTTAGTCCATGATGAACCAAAGAGGAAGTGAAAGAGAGTGAAGGGCACAGCAAAAGCTTACCAGGAAAGGTCCTGCCTTGGGGTTCCAAAGGACAACTTTATATCCCTCTTTTAAGTTTTTATTTTAAAATTTTATTTACAGAAATTTAGAAAAGAGGTACAGGAGAAAATGAAAATCATCTATTGTGTCATGACCCCATCTCTTAATATTTTGGTGTCCTTCTTCCAGTGCAAAAACTTATGTAAGAGTACTCATGTGCAGTAACGTAGCCTGCTTTTTCACTAGTGTTACCCCATAAGCGTTTCCCCTTGTCATTAAGGTCTTATTAGGATCCTTCTTACGTGAACATAGATTTATGTTGTTTCTACATAATCATTCCTCCTTGAGTGACAGAGGGTTTCCCCTACTTTTTAGCTGTTGTAATTAATTTGACTCATAGCTTAACCTTAAAGTCAGTTCTCAGACTCTTCCCTGTGAGTCCTCCTGAATCTGAGGCTGGGAGATCAAGTTGGAGTCGGACCTCTCTCAGAAAGCAATGTCCCCTGCTCTGCTCTTCTTCCAGAGGAGCGGTCAACCCCTCCCAAAGTGGACGAGGACGACCCCGGCCCCAGCGTGCAGCCAGCACTGCCGGTGCAGATCCAGATTGCTGTGGACGTAATGGAGCGCTGCATCCACTTGATGTCAGATAAGAATCTGAAAATCCGCTTGAAGGTCAGTGCAGCCTTTTCCCTGCATTCACACAACAGCAGGACAGAGTTTGGGCTGGTCGGCAGTGACGACACAGATGGGCAAGTAGCTGCCCTTATCTCCTGGGCCATGTGTGGTGGCCAAGGGAGAGCTTCAAGAGGAACCTGTCTGTGGGGTGACAAGCTACATCTCTGTAGCAGCTTACATGCCAAAGGGGAGCAGAGTCCCCTTTGTGGAATAAAAAAAAACACAAAGTTTTGGAGATTCACTGGCTCTCAAAATAAAAGAAAGCCCTCTGCTTAGGGAAGGGTATCATTTTCTAAGCTGACTTAAGACAGGATGCAGTTTTTAATACTTTGAAGTAGTCATTCTTCCAAGGCTAATGCTAGCCCTTATCTCTGTTTGGTTCTGTCCCCATTTTCATCCTAGGAAAAACACCAATACTTTCTTAATCTTACATCTTCGTTTGCTGGCAGATGCCCAAGCAGCATCCGCATCAGCAAAGGCTTAAGCTAAATGGCAGTGACTCCAGTAACAGGACAGTGAGGTGGGGTGGGAATGGGTGCAGAGCCTCAGTATCACCTGGGGGAGATCTTGTACCCCCAAGGAAGCAGCATGCACCGGCCAGTTCTCTCCACCCCCCAGCAGGAGAAACACAGCCGCCGTGGTGAACTGCTGTCAATGGCAGGAGCACACGGACCCCCCAGGGGTGGTGCGCTAGGAAACCCTGATCCACGGATTATCTCAAGTCTTGGGCCCTGTGTTTTGTGGAATTTGTTTAGTCTTCCCAGAGACACTTCTTAATACTCATCTGTGCCATTCAGAAAGCACTTGTCGCGTGTCCACGGCATGCAGGACTTGATGGTAGGTGTCTGGTCACCGAGTTAGCCAAGTGCCTGCCCTCGTAGCTGCGACACACACTCCGCTAAGAGCCTCAGCCTTGGAATCAGACCTGCACACCCAAGTTTACCTTTTTGAGTCTCAGCTTCTACCGCATTGAGTTCCAGATTTTAAATAGGAACCAAGTACCGCCAAGTGGGCGTGTATGCTCATTCATTTACTAATGTTCACTGAGCAACAGGTCAGACAGAAGGAGATGAAGCAGATGTAGTTTCTGTCTTCATGGAACTTCCCTGTCTGTTGTGGGGATAAAAGGTCACACACAACATACACATGCAAGTTGAGGAAATGCTATGAGGGCAGTGAACAGATTCTGTGGTAAGAAACAGTAATGCACCCATGCAGCAAACAGTACTGGAAGCCTACTCCACCAAGTCTTGTTGAATAAGAGCGTCTGTTCTGATTTAGACCAGGTTAGAGAAGGCCTCTCTGAGGTGGTAACAGGTAAGCTAAAACTTAAAAGGTTGAGGAGAAGCCAACCAGGCAGAGAGGGAAATGCATGTCTTTGAATGAATGAAGGATGACATAACTTGCCCACTGCGTGACAGAACTCAAATTCAAAGCCAGTCAGTGACACGAAAGCATTTCCACTCTCCTGCTCTGCTCTCCACTCTATCTGAGGTATCTGTTACTGTCCTGCCTAACTACTCACCCCTCAAGGGCAGGGGTGAATCTTAGAGTGGACTTGCACATAGTGACTATCCCATGAGGGCTTTCAGTTTAATGTCGCTGGCTTCCCTCTCCTGACTGACTGTTCCCCTCTCCCGCCCTTGGGGGGCAGCCTGTCTGGGAGGAACGCTGAGCTGACTGGTTACCACCTCCTGGGACACCGAAGCTTCAAGCTTTGAGATATAAGAGCTCAGAAAACATTCTCTGGGGAGGCAGGAAACCCCATTTACATCCAGGCTGCCCAAACCTCTTTTCTGAGGGTGACCTACATCTCTGATGCCTAACTGACCTCTCCAGTTAGAAGTAACACTTTGTCTCAGCGACCTCTCAGTTACTCCTCAGTTAACTCCTGTTGTTCCTGTCTCCGTAAGCAATACCTGTATCTGCTCACTTGCTACCCTGAACCAAAGCAGCTCTTTTTGGTTCCTCCTCATCGCTCCAGTATTGAATCTTTCAGCAGTTTAAGTCATTTCAGCTCCAAACCTTCATCTCCCTGCCTCTGCCACCACCACATGACCACATCACTTTCTTCCTCTCGCATGGACGTGAGTGGCTTCCTCACACGCCACCTCCACACTTCTCTCTCCCTCTCCAAGTACTTTCCTCACTCAGCAGCCAGAATGACCTTTTCAGACATGGATCATATCTTGTCACTTTCCTACTTAAAACATTTTGATGGCTTCCCGGTGCTCTTACTACAATATAAAAACTCTTTCGCCCGCCTTGGTGGTCCAGCCCCCCCTCTGCCACTTCACAGGTGCCCGGCTCCAGCCGCCTGAAGTCTACAGCTCCCCACCCCCAGGCCCTCCTGGTGTCTGTCTCTAGTCCCGGAACTCACTCTCTCACTCTGCATGACAAACTCCTACTCACTTTTTGGTCTCATTTTAGATGTTACTGCCTCAGAGAAACCCTCCCACAGTCTGGAGAATTTACATCCCTCTTTTAGTTTCTTTGGATTTGCACCCTTTACTTTTCTTCCTAGCCTTTGACACAGTTGCTAATTCCTAACGTGGCTATTACCTGAGTAAGGTTATTCTCCTTGACTGGAAGCCCCATGAAGGCAAAGGCACATGTGATTTGTTCCTATTACTTAGCCGTGCTTGACATACAGTCGGGACACAGTAAATATTCACAAAATGTGTTTCTAAATTTTTTTCTTCTGAAATGGTCACGTGGGCCAGTATCTGATTTCAACCCTTAACTCTGCTGAAATCAGTCCTGTTTTCTTTCAGGTCCTGGATGTGCTGGATTTGTGTGTTGTTGTTCTGCACTCGCACAAGGAGCAGCTCCTCCCCTTGGCTCATCGTGCCTGGCCCCCGCTTGTGCACAGACTCACAAATGATGACCCGCTGGCAGTGCTCAGAGCCTTCCAGGTACAGCGCAGTGAGTGACCCCCGCCAAGCCTGCCGGGTGGGGGCAGTGAACGCCGAGCTCGCTGGTGTCTTTTGAGCTTGGTTCTCTTTTTAGCTGATTTTAATGTCATGTGCCTTGGAGAAAATACAGAAAAATAAGCACAAAGAAGAAAATAAGGATCAACCTCCTTTGAAATGTGAAGCAGAGTGAATTAGTAGATGAGAAGCAGGTGAACATCTGTGATTGCAGCCGTCCCCCTCATTAGCACACTCTTGCAAGGTAGATACGACTGCCTCCAGGTTCAGAGAAGTTAAGGAATTTTCTTTAAGATCACAGAGCTCAGAGCCTAGACCTGTGAGTTCAGCCCCCATGTTCTTTTCAAGAGTCAAGATGAAAAAGCCACAGTTCCAGCAGTGGGCACCGCCTGCCAGCCCGGCGGCAAAGCCTGTGACCACCTGTTTTCAGGAGGGCTTGGGACAGGGAGCCCCCCCTTTCACATAGTGTCATCGTCAGCGATGAGTGGAACCGTTTGTGAAATACTTTGAGAAGTCAAAATCCGTGCCTATGTGAGGCATTCCTCTCCCTGGCTTCGTTTGGCTTGTAGTAGCAACGCATTTTAGCATACTTGTGTATATCCTTCGGTGTTCTAAAAGCGCACAAGGTAAACCAGCGACATGTTTACCGTGGCAAGATACACATAAATTAGAAGTAGGTGAGCGTGATGGTGAGGCAAAGAAAAAAGGTGTGTGGGAACATAAAATGAAGTCAGGAATTCCACTGATACAATCACAAAATATTTTGGTTTTCTCTCAGCTTCTTCGGCATATGCTGAACCAAAATACAACCTCACGTTGAAGGCATAGAAAACTGTTAATATTTTTTTTGCCCAAAGCAAAACACACAAAGTGACAGCTGTGTCTGTGTGTGTGTGTGTGTGTGTGTGTGTGTGTGTGTGTGTGTGTGTGTGTGTGTGTGTGTGTGTGTGTGTGTGTGTGTGTGTGTGTGTGTACAGAGAAAACAAGAGAAAGAAGGAAAGGGGAGGAGGGGAGAGAGAGGAAGGTTTTGCTAAATCTTATTCACATGTGTGAGGAACTGACAGTGAGTGTAGAAAGATGAGAATCTATAAAGATGAGGCTGCCTTTCCCTCCCAGGTGACGCCTGAGGCCTGGAGCACTCGGGCAGCCAGCTGAGGGGCTTGAAACAAGCGCCTGTTCTCTGCCAAGTCAGCAGACACTCTCATGCTGGTTATGCCTTGCTTACCAATTCTTAAAGAAATTTCTATTATCCTCAGTCTTGTGCAGCGGGGTAAAACCTTTCAATATGTTCTGCTAGAGAAAGTTTAAAACGAGACATGCAAAAAACTGCCTGTTGCAAAAGATGAAGAGGGTGATGTGCATCGGAGGCGGCAGATGGGACGGGGACTGGCGCGGCTCTGAGCACGGGCCGCCCTGACCCCGCCGGCCCCGCCGGCCTGCCCTCACGGTGCTCGCCTGTGCCGCCGCTGGCCTCGGTGTCCAGCTTGGCTCAGCTAGTTGAGCTAAAGGGACCAGTCTTTTCTCGAGGGGTGTCACGAAGATTCAAGAGATGATCTATGTGGACTGCTTTCAGCTCTCTTTACAAAAAAGGGAGGAAATAAGGTATTAATCATATTATTCATCCAACCCGATTCCTTTGAATTATTTTCCATGTAATCTGTATTTATGGCTAGAAGCAGCCATGCCTTGAGAGCAGAGACCTCCGAATTCATAACTGTCAGAATCACAAACCATGGGCAAGGAATTAACAGCAGTAATTCTATTTTTTTCCAAGCAGAGACCTAGATGAAATTGAATTACCAAACATTTTTTAGCTCTCTGGCCGCCTTGGCGATGTGCAGTCACTGGGCTAGGGGCTGTTTCTGCAGGTTTTGCGTACGCTGGGAGGCCAGTGTGGCGACTTCCTCAGGAGCCGGTTCTGCAAAGACGTCCTGCCCAAGCTGGCTGGCTCCCTCGTCACCCAGGCTCCCGTCAGCGCCAGGGCCGGGCCAGTCTACTCCCACACGCTGGCCTTCAAGCTGCAGCTGGCTGTCTTGCAGGGCCTGGGCCCCCTCTGCGAGAGACTGGACCTAGGTAGGTACCCGCCAGTCTCACCTGGACACAGACCATTCATTCTGCCGTTCCCCTGCTCATCCCCCTCTCCGGCTAGTTGTGTCCCCTCATCTTTCTTCGCGCACACACCCTTCAGTCATTCTTGTTCTCACTCATGCACATTCATCCTGATATGTTGCTTTGGGGTTTTTTTTTGTTGTTGTTGTTGTTGTTGTTTTTACTTGCAGGATGCCGTGAAAGGCCCATGGCATCTTGTCTGGCTATTCGATTTCACCAGACAGCAGTTGGTTACTGCTCATCCCAGGTGAAGTCTGAGGCCAGAGCTTGTTTTGTTTCCCTCTCTGCAGGTGAGGGTGACCTGAATAAAGTGGCTGATGCCTGCTTGATTTACCTCAGCGCCAAACAGCCCGTGAAATTACAAGAGGCTGCCAGGAGGTACGTCTGCTTGATCATCCGCATCTCTTTACGTTTGTTCTAAATTATAGATGATTTGCTAATGGTGAGCAGAGTTGAGGCATCTCTGCTCTTTCCTCTCCTCTCTTTGCCAGGTTAAGATGGTTTCTTGAACTGTGCCAACTCAAGAGATGGTATTTTTACTAGACACATTTCTCTTTCTAAGTAACCTTTTCCTCTGCTGCAGTGTCAGCCACAGTCCCAAAGCAGGCCGGCAGTGTGCCCATGGGACAAAGCACTCTCCTGGTCCGAGGCCCCATTCCTTCATCACCAAGTGACCTGGAACCTCTGAGCCTCGGCTGCCTTCTCTACAAAGTGAAAGCATTGAATTGCTGCAGGGCCTGCAGGGCCTGTGCAAAACCGGGCTGTGCGAGCAGGCGTGTGGGTGCTTTCCTCTAGCAGAGCTCATAGCAACCATCTGAGCACAGTAGGAGTCTGCACCAGGAGAGGTCATGAGCCTCTGGACTCATGGCTTAAGGCCCTTTTCCAACTCTGAAATGAAGTGATTCTAGTTTCCAAGAGTTTTGCTTATTAGAGAGTAACTAAACCACCTCTAATGAACTAAGGGGTTTTTCTCAAATGCTGGAACTCTATACAGCAGCACCCCAGGCTTGAGGCCCAAAGTGCTCTTGGGCCCCCTCTCACCTCCACTCCTCCCAGCTAGGTGCAGCCTGTGCCCTGAATCTGCCACCCGAGGATGCCCACACCTGAGGGGAAAGCCCTCCTGTGTGCTGGGTCTGTGTCCTGCTCTGGACCCCGAGCGACCGGGCCCTGCCTCAGGCCTGTAGGCAAGTGCCCCTGAATTTTGGCAGTGCAGGCCTCGTCCATTCCCCAAAGGGTGAATGGCTGCACGGGCTGTGACCTGAGGAGAGCCGACTTGCTCCCTTAGAGACCTTCCACTCTCTGGGAGTGAGGGAAATAATCTTTTTCAATTGATTGATTGTCCTTTGCAATTTTTGCTCTTGATTTCCCTCTTTTCTTTAGTCTCTTTCTCATCACATCCCCCAGGCCCAAAACCAGTTGTGTTTTCTCCAGTACAGAGGCCTTTCCCAGCCAGCATCCCGTCCCAGACAGCCTTACTCCTTACAGAACCAACTTAGAGGGGAAATAGTCCTCCCTGGGCAGTGTCCCTGACGCTAACTGTGCTGTGGTTTAAAGTACAACTGAGGAACATACCGAATTTATCTTGAAGTGATTCTTTTGGCTGCCTGTGCGAACCAAGAGTTGCAGGAACGGGATGTTTCCCGTTCCCTGTCCCCTTTTGCTTTTCCTGCGCTCACACCAGACCCCCTTTCAGTTTAGACCCTTCAAACAAACAGTTGTGTCCATTATCTTTTTGTTTCCCCCCCCCCCTTTTTTTTCTCTTTAAAAAAATTAAACCTGAAATTGGACATTGCTGACCCTAGAGTTGGTATTCAAGGTGCCTGGAAGGAGGAAAATGCGGCCAGTGGGCCAGACCACTTGCCGGCAGGGCCTTTGTTTGCTCCAGCATTCCATTCCAGCTCGAGAGATGACCTCCCTCTTGACAGGCTGGGAGGGGAGGAAGCGCAAGGTTGATTGCTTCACGTACACATCATCTGCGAACTTATTTTGAAGTCAGGGGGAAAAATCAGTGTTGTCCTTGATCAGGAGCTGATTTGGCATCTTGATTCAGAAACTAATGAGCTCTCTAAATGGAAGAAGCCTGAGACAATGGGAAACCTGGTCTCTTTGTGAGCCTCATTACCAGAGGGAGTCAGAGACAGGTGGGCAGGTTACTGCTGAAACAGTCACACCTACAGGGACTGATGGACAAGGTCCCCTGAAAGAGACTGAGTCCCCAGCTCAGCAAATGGCTGCCCTGCATCCACTTGGTTGCCCTTAATTGTCTTCTTTCCTTCATAACCCACCTCCATTCCAGAAGTGAAGCCTGTCTACCTAATTTGCAAAATCTCTTAAAACTGTCAGCTTCTCTTCAACCCCAAACTAGGCCAGGCCACCCTTGTCTCTTACCTCCTAGCCGCTTCACCAGCCCCTGCGTCTACCCTTGTGCTCTGGGTATCCCCCCCACACACTCACTCATGGAGAAGAGAGGCTGCCTTTCTTATTGAAGGCCAAAGGCGGAGCCCTAAGCCGAGGGTTACAAAACGTCAAGCCTCTCTCACTATTCAGAAGGACCAGTAAAAGCCAGTGATGCCCTGGCTTTCTCAGAGGTAGTGAGTTTCCAGCACTGGACAGATGACCAGCTGCTTTGGAAGTGGCCCCTCAGCCAGGGCTGGCCAGGCAGGGGGTGTCTGCCCAGAGGCCTCCCTCCACTTGTAGGAGTGGAGCGGCAGCCGGGTCTGGCAAGTGGGGCCTGGGGCCTCCAGGGGCTGCCTCCTTGTGGGCTTCGGCCCCTGACAGGTCCTGTGTGCATTACTGTTGGATTTTTCCTTCCTCCTGTTTACTTTACGGGCTCCAAAGAATGACCAAGATTGTGTTTGCTTTTTTAATTTGTTTTATTAAATATAGCCTTTGTGGCAGGCTTTTACATCCAGGCAGTAAACTCTAGAAATGGAAATTGATCAGGGTGGCTGATATAACTGAGGCTGTAAATGCTAAGAAGGGAGATGCCATTCCAGTTTAATGCTTTTATCTAGCGAATGTGCCTTGCACAGAGGGGTGTAAATCTTGGAGCTTGGGAGGAGGGGAGCGAGAGGGGTGGGGTGTAACCTTGCTGTTTGTTACCACCAGGTGTCACTGTTAACTGGCTGTGCAAGAAATTTACTGGCTCCCCCAAAGTCTACCTAGTTAATAAGTTCAATGGATAACACATGAGAAAATCATATTTGGAGTGTGGAGGGAGGGGTCAGCATAGTGTGAGTTGTAAACAGACAGCATCCCTTAGGGTAAGCACTGGATTACAGAACAATAGGTCGCATTGGCTACGCCCCCCATTTCTGTCTAGGCTGAGGCAAACTTAACTGATTTAAATTCCCAAGTGGCCCTGGAAGCCTCCAAGATATCTCCCAGCATGCAGTGGGCCTCCACAGTTCTTTGCTTTTCTGGTCATGGAGCTTTTCCTTCCCATACTTGAAAGGAATTTGAGATGAGAGCACATACCCTAAATTTCTGTGTTTTTCCTTCAAGCTAGCACATGCTCTCAGCCTGGCTCAACTAAACTCCGTTAAAGCCACAGTCCTTGGGCCGGTCTCAGAACAGCCTCAGAGAGTCGCTGTTCTTATAGCTTCAAATTAGCCTTCTACCCTGGAATGAAAAGGAGCAAGCCTAGGCAGTACCTGTCTTTACAAGATGAAGTCCATTCCCAGTGAGTCTCACAGTAGAGGAACAGTAGTTGCCACCCCAGGCCTTCCATTGCCTGCTAACCCCAGCCCCCAGTAAGAATGCCGGGTGCAGCAGGTAGCAAGTGACCAGCTGGTTCACCTACTGCTATGCAGGTCCCAGGTACTGCAGTCCTCACTGGGGTGGAGTGACCCTTCCCAGTTTCCTCCGCCAGGACAAAGGACACCAGTCCTGGAGGTGGGCGGACCTAGTTCAGATCTAAGGGGCTCTGTGACCTTGAGCAAAAAGCTTGGTTTCCTCACACCTTATTTCCTTCCTCCATAAACCAGGAGTAGTGATGACGCTTTCCTCCTGGAGTCATGGTGCAGATGAACTGCATTACGATGTGAGGGAATCCACTCAGTGCTCATTCACTCTGCTGTCGGTTGAGGAGCGGCTATGTGCCAGGCACAGAGAACAGGGCCTCTGCCCCCCGTGCTTACTTCCGGGGGTGTATTTGCGCACACACGCCTATGTGGGATGTATGTAGATTCATCAAATGTACGCAGCATTGTGTCACATTCACACTTGCCTGCTTCCTCTTTCCTAAAATCCGAACCAGGTTTTCACCTCAGAAGGCCCTGGTCTCTGTTAATTGTGCCACCTCCCTCTACTGCCGTTCGCATGAGAAGTCAGGACCGGGTTTGAAGGTTCATTTCCTGACTGACTTCCCCGCTTTCTTCCTAGCAGTAGGCTCCCAGCCCATCAAAGAGCCAGCCGGTGCCTTCAAACCCTGGGCGAACACAGACCGGTGCAGGCTCGTTCATTTCATCCCTGTCAGAGCCCCGACTCCTCTCTTTACCCACACGTGGGCCTATTATATCTGAACAGATCAGGAGCCACAGAGGTGATCCATTAGTTCAGCTGAGCTTGAAATTAGTAGCTCGTCCCTTTAAATGGTACGGGCAGTGTGTCTGAGCTTGGGCTGCAGAGCTGTTTCCCCTTCGGATTGCACCAGCATGGAAATGAGAGCACTCCTCATATTTTTCCTTTTGACATTTGATTAATAGTTGACAAATCCAGACCCAAGTAGTTAGCTTTCCTATTATCCATCTTTTGACAGGCCTTGCTGCTTTTCTTTTCAAGGCTCATTGTTCTAAAAATACACCCATATCTGAAGCTGTTCACAGTGCACATATAGGCATGATTTCCTGGTGTCAGAGATAAGAGACATCTGCCATGCAGATTACAAACAAAGTGGGCTGCTGCGCTTCAGAGCGAAGGCAGGCACCTCTCCGCCGCTTAAATCAAATGCCCGGTCCTTCCCCGGCCTCCTTGGTGTTGTCATGCGATTGATCATCTGCCACGGTCAACTGTTTCACCACCCAGTGGGAAAACCAAGTGTGGGGTGTGCATGGGAGGGTGTGCCGTGCTGCTGGGGAACCGGGGCGGCCTGGAGCAGGTCGTGCCTGGGAGCGGGACCCCGGCACAAAGTGGATTTCAGGTTCCCAGAGCCGTGGCAGGCCCCAGGCAGCCGTTTCACCCTCTGCGGGGTCTGTGGGCTGCCGCGAGAGCCAGGCGGCTAACGCGAAGGTGGCGCCCTCGGCACCAGTGCAGTAGCCGGGGAAATGGCCCCCTTGAATTCTTATGTGTGTCTTTGTCCAAAAAACGCTTGAGGGACCCTTAGGAGGCAAATATACTGTGTTGAGAGAGTTGAAAGATCTGAAAGATTAATACAAAGT